GCTATAAGCCTGAGGTTCTAAGTAAAAGTGTACGCCTGATTCAAGATGATCTCAATAACCTAACTATCTGGAGCGAAAAGTGGCAATTACCATTTAACCTTCACAAATGCGGGATCATGCACTTTGGAAAGCACCCCTATGAACCCCAACTTTACTTAAATAAAAGTAAAGTCCAGACACTGAATTCAGTACACGATCTAGGAATAAATTACACAGGAAGCCTAAACTTTAAAGCACACGCCTCCTTTATTATTTCTAAAGCCAGACGCCTAATTGGCTTCATAACAAAAAATTTCTTCACGACAGATGCCAAGCTTACCCTCTACAAAATATGTGTACGACCTTCCTTAGAATACTGCTCTTTTATCTTCTCTAATATGAATACCACTGACAAAATAAGAGTAGATGTTCAAAGACGCTTTACACGCCAACTGCTAGGAAGTGACACCACTCTTGATTACACAAGTAGATGTAAGCACCTCTATTTAGAACCTTTATGGCACCGTAGGTTAAGGAACAATCTGATATTTCTCTACAAAGCAATAAATGGACTGTCATTCCTAACCTCCTGTCCAACTATGATCAATGACCCAGTCTATAGACTAAGAAACAATGCATATAAACTATTTACCGAAAAACACCAAAAACAAATGCGTTGTAGGTTTTTTACAGTTCGGTATAGTTTATTGTGGAACAAGTTGCCAATACCTATCCGTAACTATAACACCCTCACCAAATTTAAAAGGCTAATAACCCTGTTACTAAACTCTAAAGAACTTCAACTATTCCTTGAACTCCCGCCTACCAATGAGGCACTTTATTATGGACCGCCCAATATCTAGACGGAACAAGAATATAACGAACTCCATTGTCGTTAGTATGAATATAGCAAAACTAAAGAAAACATGCTTTATCTTTCCCCATTATTTATTGATTATTAACCATGGCCTTCCGCTCCTAACCCTCATTTTCAGTTTCCGAATCTCTCTAATGGATAAATTCAAATTATTCTTCCTAAATGTCCTGTACTTTTATTTTTCTTATTACAAGTAGACAGATAACTCACTAATCTTATGGATGCTGACCAACTAAGGCCGATCAAAAGAAGCCCATACGTCCTAAATTCTTGTGAGTTGTTCAATGCTTTATTTTTTCTTACCCTGAAAATTTTACAATATTTACTATCATATCCTCTGGTTTGCTATTAGCCCTTACCATCTCTTAACTACATATAATCTGACTTGTCTCTTCTAACCTTTACCATTAGTTATCTTCATAGTAGTACGATATATTAAATGGATATCTAACCCATAATACAAATGTTATTACCATCTGATTTGCTTGTAACATGGAACTTGTAAAGACAGCGTATTCCAAATAAGGTCCTTGGTAAAAGCAATATTCATACCGACCATAAACGTAAGAGAGCCTAACATCATAAAAGGAGGGAGGGTGGCGTTACTGACCAGCAAACATGATGGTGGGGAGATAACTTCAATCCACCCGTGTCTGTGGGGCAGAACATATTAATTACGGCTCCTTATGTCTAGTGGGATGTCACGAACCTTATCTTTAATTATGATCTGGGTGTTAATATGTCTTACCTTTTTGCTCCCTCCAGCACTAATAATCTCCGGGGTCATAGCAAGAAGGTTCTGAAACCGCGATCTAATAAACTAAAGGTGGGGTCCCGTTTTTCTCATCGAGTGGTCAATGACTGGAACGCTTTACCAGAACAAGTGGTATCAGCACCATCAGTGAACATTTTCAAAAAGAAGCTGGACCTTCACTGGAAGGAAATCTGTCAGGATTAACACAGGTTCATCAACCTACTATCCTTATTACTGAAGACTGAACCAACGGTATTGATGCGAAATTATTCATGCAAAATACCACTTTGCATCATGTTAAAAAAGCTGAATTGGTTCCACTTCCTACCAAGTAATCCTAATACAAGCAAACTAGACAATTGGTTAAAAACGAAGCCCACTCCATACCCTATAAAATCTGAAAACAAAAAAAAGAGAGTTCAAACAGCTTCTAAAGTAAAGAGAGACAGTCATTTGTATCGGAATACTGTTTTCAGCACTTTATTTTATAATTACACAATTCCATACTTCCTTCTAAACTACCTTCATTTATGCAGTTCCTTATCCACTCATACCTTGCCCACACTTATTTTTCTTTAACACATTAGTATGTTCTTACCTAATAAATACTTCAGTAACAGATAAATAGACTAAATGGTTAAACCTTAACTATTCCTCCACGAATATTGTGTGCTCTGCTTTTCGTCCTTCCTTTTTCTTACACCTTTTCCAGCCTCCTGCAGATACTCCACCGAAAACAGATATGGCACGGGTGACTTCGTCCTACACCGTTATTAATGCTTCCGATATTCTGGAGGGATATAAGTTCGAAACTTCTAAAAGCCCCCAACTTCGCATGTATCTATTCTCGAACATCAGTTGTATGTTGCAACGCTATCTCCATAAAGTGCGCCAAGTGTGATATTGATATTGACATGTTTCTTATGAAATCCATTTACATTCATATCTTATGAAATATCAACCCAGCTGAGTAATTTTCAACAGTGAAAATTGTAACTTCTTTAACAATTTGATCTTGCCTGTAAACCGGCATGCCTCATGTAACAATCTGTTGTTTGAGAATAAATTATTATTATTATTATTATATAAAATGACAGGATTTTGGCTCAAAATTCAGTCACCCATCTTTCTAAATAGGGTCTTGGCATTTTAACTGATGTCAGTTCGTGATGAAAACTCTAAATTTAGTTCTTAACACCAACCGTCAGTTGTAAATCCTAATTCTAGTTCCTCAAACTGGTTTATAACCCTTATTTGGTTCCAGTTATTAGGTGGACGCTCTCAAGGTCACTCTGGCATCACTCAAACGTCGTTCATAAATTCTAGACTCATTAGACAGGTTTTAGTATTAAATAAAGCTAATGGAGAAATTTGTCTGCAATCCGAAAAGCTTATTCCGTCCTGAAGTCTCTCTCCGATAATCCAAAACGGTAGTTTCCGAATCGCTATGCCCTAATGGCCAATCAACAACAAAAGTGACGCCGCCGACCTCCTGGTAGAACAGTACTCTCAGACATTTCAACCAACACATTCTAACTATATTGGCAGAAACTCTATCTGCTACTCAATAGGACGCTCAGAAGTTAAATTTAGCGTTGACTTGGTGTATCGGAAACTGCAGCACCGAAACAAGGACACTTCTCCCTACCCGGATATGGTCTGATCTGCTATACTGAGGGAAACATCTTCAATATTGGCAACACAGCTAAGCGTGCCGTTCTCTTATTCGCTAAGCCGAGGCACATTACCGGAAATTTGTAAGGTGGCTCACATCACATTAATTTTCGAAAGAGGTCGATGTAGCGAACCCTCAACCTACCAACCAGCAGCACTTCTTTCCTTACCCCCAAAAATTATGGATTCCCTGATATGCAATGGTCCATGCGACTACTTACTAATCACAAACATTTTTGCACCCCAACAGCACAGTTTTAGAAAAGATCGCTCTTGCATAAACAACCTTATGAACGCAGTGGATATATGGACAACCATCCTTGATCACAAAGGAAAGACCGACGTCATATGCCCCGACCTCTCACAGCTTTTTGATGGAGTCAATCACATATCAATAAGCTCAAACAATTAGGTGTTAAATCAACAACGATTGACTGGCTTATTTTACTTATAAATAATGTACATTTTAGGGTCAGGATTAATTTCACCTTCTATCTGGCTATCGAAGAAACTAGGGGGTCTCCATGAATTGAGTACTAAGACCCCTTCTTTTCCTAATTTACATAAACGAACTCCCATAGGAAGTATCGTTCGATTTATTACTTTTCGCTGATGATGTGCAACTTTGGAGGGAAGTTTGCAACCAAGATGTTAAGCTACCACCTAAGGAAAAACTGAATCGACTTCAGAGTTCAGAGAGACAACAACGGGCTTACTCTCAACACTTCAAAGTGTTAAGTTGTCCATCTTAGACATGTCGTAGATTACGAATATGACTTAGGCGACTCTCCTCTAGAGGTATACCAAGATGAAAAAGATCTGAGTGCTGGAACCATGAGATCTGAAGTCTTACGCCAACTGCGACAACAATGCCTCTCGAGAAATCCTTTCACTGGTAATGTTGAAGCGCATTTTTAGCCATTTCGATAGAAGAACCTTCCGCCTAATCTTTAACAGTTTTATTCGAACTCATTTTGAGTATGGAAATATGGTGTTTACTCATTCACTCCAAAAGGGTAATAATACACTGGAACGTATTCAAGGGCGAGTCATGAAATCAGTTCGAGTATTCAAACTAAAGTCCTATGAAGAGAGCTTCCAATCACTGAACCTGTGATAAATCTAACCTGCCTAGAGGTTGTGGGAAATGTATAGCACGGCGTAACGACTTGTGACCTAGTGCTCATGCGTGACCAATCACCTTCAGTTAGGTGAATCCAGTAAAACTAACCCTGCAGACATCAAATGTCGAAGACCTACCGAGCTACTGATTTCGAGGATTTATTTAATACTACGGCAGATAACTAAGATTTGTCCCAACACAAACCTTAGGAGTAAAATCTCGAGACTGGAGAGACACCAAAGCAGAATGAAGTGTAGACACACCTACTTTCTACGAATAATCAAATTCTGGATTTCGCTAACGGCTGAGATAGTACAGGGGATTTTTCAGTCCTTTAACAGGTAACTTGAAATGTTCTTAGGATTTAAGAACAGCATCTCACTATAATTTACTAATTTCTTTCTGTCTATTATATTTTAATATATTTAGGCTCTGAGCTGGAGGTATCAGTGATCCACTACTACCAGATACGGTAGTATGTTAAGTGAAAGCTTCTATTCTGTCCAGAACCATTTAACTTCTATATGTAAAGATGTATAGTGGCTAGCAGTAGAATCAAGGACACGCATTTCGTCCTATTTGGAATTCAAGAGCTGGATGTACCTGCATCTCAGAGATAATGTTCACTCTGTGAAGATGCAAGTTAGCAACACCGAGTGAACATTTAACTTAGGGTTCACAGAAAAATATCAGTCATTTACTAAGGCGAATACAGGTATTACTATAAGTACACTAAATCATAGAGGAGCATGTAAACCATAGTGCTAAGTTTTCCCATTTCTGCTGTTCAAGAATTATTTGTTAGTATGTATCATTTATTTAACAAGTTGTTTGGAATATATACCGAGGAAGGTTAAAATGCCAGTCCGGAAGGGTAATGTTACTAGGATTCCCTTGTTTCTCATTTATGCCTCAGATTGTAGTCGTGCTCTTCATATCTTAACGAAATACAAACGTCAGTTAGATGAAAAAACTGACAAGTCTTTTCGAAACGCCGTTGATAAATTAATAAACACATTGGAAAGTCAATTATTTTCATCACTAATGGGTAAGGTTTCCTTATTCTGAATGGTTTTTCCAGACGTCCTGGAGGTTTACGAAGTTACTTTGACAGGAAACAATAAAGAGTTCACTAGTGAACAAGCATCAGATTCAGTTGTGAGTATTTGTAACCCCGTTAACGGGGTTACATGAATTCATGTAACGTATTGATATAAAGGAGCTTGAGGTTAACGTTTGGTTTGAAAAACTTTATTACTTCATCTTAACTTTTTATATTACTGTTTTTCTTTTAACTCAAGCCTGTATGCTTAGTGGTCGGCCTTGTCAACTATTTCGGGTTATATATATATATATATATATATATATATATATATATCAGTCTTCAGTAATAAGGATAGGAGGTCTAGTGACCTATTTTAATCCTTGCAGTTTGTTACACTGTGGAGGTCCAAACTCGTCTTGAATATATCAACAGAAGGTGCTGATATTACGTGTTCTGGTAGAGAATTCCAGTAATTCACTACTCGGTGCGAGAAACGAAACTCCAGACGTAGACGATTTGATCTCGGTTTTGGGACTTTCTTTGAATGTCATCTCAAATGCTCAGCCCTAGACGGGAGGAAAAGATAGGACATGTTAGTACCAAGGTCATCGTTCAGGATTCGATATGCCAATATTAGATCACCCCGTATTCGCCGGTAAGATAACGGAAATAAGTTGAGGTGTCTCAGTCTGTCTTCATAAGATAGGCTAGATAAGCCTTTTACCATTTTTGTCCCGCGGCGTTGGACTCGTTCCAACATATCCGCCTCATATTTGAAACAAGGACTCGCTGCTTGAATCCCATATTCCAAATGTGGCCGTACGAAAGTTGGGTATAATAATCTGAACATTTCCCCATTCAGATACCGGAAAGATCTACGAATAGACCATAATGCCCTATAGCCTTTCGCAGCAGCAGCCTTACAGTGACTGGTTGTTTTGAGATCATTACTTAGTATGACTCCTAAATCTTTATAGTTTCTTACTTTGGGCAACACTAATCCACATATTGTGTAGTGATACGAATCATCGTAGTTATCTTACCAAAGTATAGAAGAAGAAGTAAAACCTATGGTCCCAGATAGATTGCATTCGATAAAGGTGGCTCCCATAATTGTTGTTTGCTCTATATCCTGGCATAGAGCCACTTTCAGTTTTAGATGCGAAATTCCTTATTTCGATCAAGTAAATGCTTATAGCTGAATAGTTTTAGTTTCACTTACAATTATCAATACCTGTTAAAGTATAGTATTTTTCATACCAGGCTCCTACCGTTTGGCATCAATGTGTCAGACGATTATTCTTCTTACTGCTAGTTTGAAAACCAGTGTTCGCCTTCCAGATGATTTACTTTCGGCTTGTCTACTTTATATTCATTGGAAGATTCTGTAACTGAAGGGCTCAAAAGTGAGAACATGAAATTTTTTCCAATCTGTATCGATGGTTTATAGACTTAAATAAAATCCAATGTATTCGTGTAATATGAAATATGGATTTACTTTATTTGTTACTGTATCTTGAGGGGACTTGGAAATAGGCTTTGCAATTCACGGTAAACTTTGGGGTAGTTTACATCATTTTATAAAACGAACGTTGAGCGTATATTCTTAACATCTTATTTGTAAGCAAATCTAGACAGTTTACGCCTCTGTAAATGCACTTACACACAGTACGTTGAGAACCTTACTCATCATGAATAACGTCCTAAAGCCATTTTTGTGTACAACGACTGATAAACTAAGAATAAAAGCAGTCATCACACTACTGTCGGTCTCACTGAAATTTTTAAATAACATTAACTTAGTGACAGAGTATTCAGATAAATATAAATGAATGCCATCCCTCATACTTTGTCATAATGTCCGTATGTTGTAGAACTAAGTATGTAATATGACTAGGGTATTCGTTTGAATATATTTGGAAAAAGAGAGGTTTGGAAGCAAATCCTTAAAAACTTTAAATAATAGTTGTTTTCAGAAGACAGCTTGGAGTTACCTCAACATGTCGAATTTCTTACAATCTGAGAAGTACCTGGTTTGTGAAAGCAGATTTCCCAAAGTCTAGATGTACTTTAGCCAAGATAATAGATCGATTCGAACGATGAATCATGAATATATCCTTTAATTTAGGGATAAATATAAGATCTGTGAACTCCTCCCAGAATTCTATATACCCACTTTTATGAAGAATTTAGACTTAATCAAAAGCCAGTACCTGAAAAACAGCAATATTAGTGTTTCTTTTGCTATAATAGACCATTTCAACGCCAATTGTTAATTTTAATTTTGTCTTTAATAGTTTTTTAAGATTGACGCACTTTACTGTTATTTTTGAACAGAAAGGTGAACTTTTCGTATTTTATGGCTAAATAAAATGTGTCTTAAGTTATTTAATTTGTTGTTCGTTATAAAAAGCTCTATCTGGATCATTCCTTTTTAATTTTAACCCTAACCAATGCATAATTAAATGTGGTAACGGTTTTAATAATTATCTTCGAAGGCAGATTTTAATTTTGATGTTATTTATTCTTTGGTAAAATTATGATTTTACAATTAATAATTGAAGCATGAGCTCATTATATGCTTTAACATAAATAAGTAAATAGATCTGTAAAAGATAGGCAGATTTCCTCAAGTTCCTATTTTTAACACAGGATGGTTTGTTAATATTACCGTATTCGTTCTCACCAACAGAAGTTTGAATGTGGAGAAAGTTAAACACAAGAGTAGTAAGGAAATGGCAGTGTTTTTCCTAGCTTATGATACATATCTGTAAAAATAATTGATTTGGAATTCCCAATAGTGATCATCGGAATAGTAACCAAATTGTAGGGAATATATAGACCACATAAAAAAAACTTAGTGACATACGATCTCATCTAAAATGTTCACTTTTGGTGAATAAAAGTCTGCCCATTTCATTTCAGCCTGACTTTAGTTTAAGTAGTTTAATGTATGAATTTCAAGTCAGTATAGATAAGAACTGTTATTTTTCGATTACCAATGAATTATTAAAATGATTCTATCGTAATAAAAATCAGTAATTGACGTTGTTTGCGTCTGTCTGTCACTTGATTACTATTGATAATAATATCCTTAACTTCATATTTTGTTTTCCAGAATATTTATCACAGTGGATCAAATATTTCTCCTGGTAATCAATCACTGTCAAAGCCTCTGAGCCCTGGTAGGTTAGTGTATTTAGAAACAGATTAAAAGCCTTTTTCAAAAACTAATACAATCTGTCTCACAGATAAATAATGTAAATTCGTAGTAACTGGCATGGTAAAATGTACTTATTAGGTTTCTAGACATTCAGGTCATATTTACTAATTTGTTTTTGAAAAAGGTGGAAAGTTCTCTTAGATTTTTACGTTTACGAAAATGCGTACAAAATAATTTAGAGATTATGATTACAAAATAAAGGGATGATATCATTGCATAATAGTTAGAAGGCAAAAGGCAAGTTATACTAACTGAACATTAACTACGATCCTATTGTATATTGATCACTACTGGACTTACACACTTGATTAAGTTTGTGAAGTTAATCTCCCTTCAAAACCAAAACTCTTCTACCAAGCAACTAATGCTTTTCATATATCTGTTTCATAGACAATTCGAAAAGTTTCATTTTCTTCGAAAGGTTTTCATCCTTATATGCAATCGTTTTTATGCATTACTACCATTGAAGTAACAGCTATGAATTTGGTGCTCGTCTTGTAATGCTAATGAGGTATGGCAACTTGGACCGATGCATATGTGTCTGGTCCTACGTTGTAGATGACTAACTGATGAAAAAGCCTCCAGCATTCTTTTACTTCTAAGGTTATTGCATCTTATTGCTGATTAAACAACGTAGGAATAATTTAGTTGGTTTCACCACTGTTTATTATGTAAAAATTCTTTTTCTCTTTAAAGTTCAGGTTTAAGTGCATAAATATCTCAATATTCACACTAATTAAGCAGTGAATTAAAATTTATTAACTTTTTTTAGTCCTTCAGTTAAAAGTTTCGATCAATAAAACTAATCACGTGTTTGCTGAAACAATATGAGATTTATATTAAGGGGTAGATAAACCCTGCTACCTAAAAGCATGTTTCAGCTAACACTGAATCTTAACCGTTTGATTAGTAAGATCCTTACGGATTGTTACTGAATTAAACAAGTATTTGTCCGATAGTACTGCACAATAAAAATCAATACTTGTTTGCCTGTCCCACATTGTTTGTCATTTAAAAGATAAATGGTAATAATAACACGCAGTATCGATCATATGACTTAAGACATTTTTGGTACTTAATTCATAACATTTAAATGTAATACAAAACATTGAATTTCTCGATGAATTTTAAGATAGGATCTAATAACTCTTTTGCATAAACTGTATCGAGAATTATTCAATGTTATTAACGCTACTCGTGTATTTGGTAATATATCATAGTGAATTACTTGTCCTACAGCTTGACTTCTAGAATTAGGCTTAATCCATTCTCATACATTTGGACGTAGAAAATTTTAATTTCTTAGTGAACAATTGTGACTTGTTGATGTAACGGTCAGTCATGATTGGGTGGTAAGTGAAGATGAACAGTCAGGTTCGCCATATGTTTGAAGCACTATTTAATATTACAAAATCCTTTCTGTTACTAATTTTAATTATCCCACTCTAGGTTGGATTGTTTGGGAATCGTTTTTACTTTGTGTAAATAGATTGTTTTGTTGCTATAATCCAATTCTCGGACGTTGTGTGGATTTGTGTATGCATGTACTACATGATCGTCCAGTTTAGTGTCCTGGTCTTATTGTCGTTCTATATCATGCCAAAAGGGAAATTCTTTGATTTTCTGCTATAACACTTGTTGATATTATTAAGGTAACAAAGACAAAATATGCTTGTCGCTGATGATAGGTGTTGACTCGTACCAAATTATGACTGGATCAGTTATGTAAAGTCAGTGGTTGAGTTATACATAGTCGATGCGTTTAGGTTGAAAACTGAACTTTTTTTAAAAATTTACGTAAGTGATTTAGTACCCTCTTTTGTTATTGAATGACTGATATGAACTGATAGAAATCAATCGAACTTGCGCTTTTTGTTAAACAGAAACATGACCAAAAACAGTCTGACACTTAACACTGAAACGTAATTCGGGTATCTTAGTAGTCGGTTTTCGTAGTTTACTCTCGATTACATCTAACCATTTAACATCAAAGCCTGTATCATTTGTACACAAATAACGTCTTATATACAGTGAATTCACAATAACAAAGGTGTTAAACGAAGGAACCGATTAAATCACTAGAAACTAGTTTATAAGAACCTAGGGATCCTTTATAATGAACAACTAAACTAAGTTTGCCAAAAATTGACGGAGAGTATTAACTTTGAATACTACCGTATTGAACAGGATAATCGTCATCTTTGATTATGTATTGACGGTCTTCGTTTATTTGTGAAACATTGTAATGCTTCAAAACGTATGTTGTCACTATAATCTCGGACACGAATGTCATTTGGAAAGTGTGGAAATACCAAACATAAAGGCTTTTACAGGGCATGGCCTTTGACTCAAAATATGATCAGTACATATGTTAAGATGAAGTCAAACTATTTATTATTTACAAAAGATAGTTAATGAACAATAGTTCAGCAATTAAAAACAATTTTTCCAACCGACTGCAACCATAATTCTTTCACCAACTGAGTGATAACTAAAGAGGGTTTATCACGTAAAGTAAAATCAAGCCACTGCTCAGAAGTCTCCATGTTCTTTCTTTATTTGAAACTTACTTTTATATTGTTTCTCAATTCAAAGTAAGATTTAAGTTATCATAGCCTACTGATCTCACTTAATACTAAAATATCAAAACCGATATCATTGCACACAATTTGTTCATGTTAATCCATGAAAATTTCTTTTACTTGTTACGGATTAATTTCAAGCTTCAGTTCATAATACTGATTAAAATCTTTTACTGAAAATATACATTTCTGTCATCATATAAATAGCATATAATAGACGTACATATATTGGATTTAGTTTTTTTTCTATTGTGGGAGATAATCTTTAATGAAATCAGGAATTAATGTCCTAGCTACACTGATAACTACCAGAGTGCAGTGGATTTTTAGACCTGAATAAACTCATACTTTTTCATAAATGCATTTAGGCATTTCAACTTAGCTCAAACACTTCAACCGTTTTATCTCTGATTAAAGTTTTAGAGACAGATTCACTTCCACTTAATTATGAAAATACTTTTCTATTGTATATCAATAAGTTCAAAACTACGGTTAAGGGTTTCTTGATGATCTTTTTTGAATATCACACACTATACATTATTGTGGTTATCTTTTTTTTCAAGATTTTATCCGAATGACTAATGTGTCACATGAATATTTGTAGGGAAAAGTTCCAATTCTGCGTTATAATTAAATTCTAATTTAATTTTATTCAAACCTTACCGAAATCAGAAAATAAACCATTGATATTTCATTATTTCCTTAAGATGTAATTAGTAAGAAGATTACGAAACATCACCGACTTAAAACAGTTGATGAGAGTTTCGTAAAACCGACTTGAGGTAGACACTGAAGATGATTCTTTAACAAAATAAATGTAGAAATACAACTGGGCTCCTCAGATTTCCGATTCAATTAGCGCTTACGTCTAAACATATTCACATAAATAAATAATAATCTGGTTTCGTTTTCCGGTAAAACTAACTGCTTACCATTTTATCGGTAAAATTTTGTAACATTCTTTTGACGTACAATTACATAGATATATTTAAATAATTGGCAAATGGAGCTAAAGAATAAACGTAACTAAGCTTTTAAACCAGGAGTATTTAAGCCCAATATTGTGTGCGTTTTGTTATTGTTGTACATGGTGGTCTATCGATCCCTCAAAAGTATGAATCGCCTTAGTGACTTAACACAATTTATTGACCACATTATAAGAATTTCCGCCGTACTGTGGGACATATTGATACTTCACTTGCCAAATCGTTACCAGTGCGTACATAATTACAAAGTCTCTGGTCTATGTATCCTATTAAAACTGTACTTTTAATGTGATGAGGGTCAATCTCCTACTTTCACTATGTATTCGTAGATTGTGTTTCAATAAAAGGAGAATGGGAATATCTGGATATTATACTTAAACGTGATTCAACTGCAGTAGGTGGATTTGGTTTTAGTATTGCCGGAGGAATTGATAATCCTATTACGGACGTGGATCATGGAATTTATGTCACAAGAATAGCGCCTAATGGATGCGCAGATCGAGATGGTAAACTAAGGTAAAATAATTTTATTTTACATAAGTAATTTTTCTAGATTTAGTAAGTCTTTGAAAAGCATAATAGTCTTGTCATAAGTTTTTGACTTAGTAGAAAGCGTAATGATTTTAAGGAATGCACACCATGTTTCAGTTGTGTTCCGATGAATAACTTCTTACATTTGTTATTACAAACATAATAACAATCAACATGTTTTCCAGTGACTATCATTCGTAGTTACACTGCTCTCTTTTTTTAATAGAATAAGCGAAAAAAGTACTGTAATTTTCCGGATGTTAGCTCCTACATACAGTGGAAGCCATAAGAATTCACTTGAATAAGCATAACCGTTGCACACAACAACTTTGTACTCTCTTCTCTTAATATCTAACTAACTTCAAGCTTGTCCTTTTAAGTTTTTTTGCGGTGTGATTATTTTCAGTAGTTAAAAGATTATTAATTCAAACTTTCAGTTACACTCATTTGTTTCCTTCATACTTATTTTGATTGTAATTATTTTCAACAACTAGCCGATTCCTGAAGTTTAAACTTTAGTCTTTGTTTTTATATAACTGATTCCCGTACTTAAGCTTACACTTAAAACTTTTTCGCATCTTGATACTCATGTAATTAGTCCCAACAACCACTCTGTTCTGTTATTGTTACTATTATTATATTAATTTACTCATCCTTAATTAATATTGATCTCACGTTCAAATGTAAAACTGCATATATTAGCTAACTGAAAAGAAATATTTCTTCGTTCAGATTGCATTGATTAAGAGGGATTATAAAATTTTAACCACAAACATTTGACATTACACCATTCTGTCCGAATGTTTTTCTTCAGATATAAGATTTGTTTTTACAACAATTGGCACACTTCAGCATATTGATTTCCAGATTATCATTTGTAACTTATATCTCTGTGATAGCACTGTTAAAATTATTCTTCCAGTTAATTTGAAATAGTGTCAGCCTCTTTCATTGTGAAATTTTTATTGCCTTAAACCTAGTAGCTACAATTTAGTCGCCTCTTTTCATTCATTGGTGATAAAGTGACTATTTGAAGATATGTATACTAACAAAATAGTAACTATTTGGACATACTTTTTCAAGTTAGCGCAAATTACAAACTAACCTATGAAATTCACTGTAAAGTTTTGAGGTAAAGAACAACTTTATTTAAAGTCGAATTTCCGTAACAGGATAGAATAGTCGTTTTGCTGAACTATTCATAGGAAATAGGGTCATCTTAGATTAAGTTCATTCATGTCCGTTGTACTTAAATCCTAATAGTTTAGGACGTACCACGGAATTCAATAAGGGTCTTCGACACTTAATAAGGTGTCGTGATCACGTAGCGTACTTTTACTTGACTAATACTAAACCTTTAAATAAACCTTCCGTTATTTTTCATACCTTGGTTCTTTTTTAAAGGGTTGATGATCAAATCCTTAGTGTCAATGACATCAATTTAGAGCATGTTACAAATATGGAAGCAGTGAAAACATTAAGACAAGCTGGTAATCAACTACATTTAGTAAGTTTTCCTTTATTAAGTCTAGCATTTTCTGAATATTCTCAACTGTATGAAAAATAAAAGGAAAAACATAGGTACAAATATATAAGATTAAAAACACTTAATTTGTACAGGTTCTAATCTGTTTGACTTATGCCGTTTTTTTCTATGCTTTCAAATAGTATATTTCTTAAATCCACGAATTACTGAATCTCTATAATCAATAAATTACTAGCTAGTTCTAGCTTCAACAGATCTGGTAATTCTTTCATCGGTTTTATCCGGTGAAAATAATTTCTTGGTTTGCATTTGTTCATTTTCAATGATCTATCTTTAAAATTGTTTGCTACTCAATCCGCACTTACGTACCCCACACCAATTAATAGGGTTGTTAAGGGTATCAAATAGATCCTCAACCATAGCTGCTACCTTGACGTGGTGGTCAGGCTTGCCTATTGTAATGGTTTAACCGAGCTATATTGGCTGAAGTACATGTTTGTTTAGGTTTCACCTTGCTAGGCAGTCGGTTAGAGAATGGTGAGATAAAAAGTAGCAACTTAATGTCTGAGGGCAAAGTTGTACTGCTGACTGTAGGGGAGTGTGACGAAATCATGGTGTATTCTTCTGACGACCATCCTTTCTGCCTTCTCATAAAGGAAGAATGGGGTTATAAAATATCATCCCTAAAAACGCCACATTTCACCTTACCCCATAGACTTCAGTCTGCGACTATAAGGCCTTTTGACGTATAGCACTAACACATCAAAAACTTCCCATAAAAAGACCGTAATTGACAGGTCTCAAGCAGTTGTTCTCTGAGATCTGCAGTCACGCTCTTTGATCACTAAAACCACCAATAATCCAGTTCCTTCTTTAGATCCCTCGAGAAATATCCTTCCATGATATGGGGAGCTGGGAAAGGACAACTTCCCTCATACCTTTAGCGGTATCTGAGAATATCGTGTTCATGATCAAATTCCTTCGTCACTTTATTATAATTATCGTATCCTCGCGTTTAATGCTTCTCGCATATCTTAATCGCCATACACCACCGATGCTAGTGATTCGAATTAACGGAATGTTATTCCTGGTCTCCTGAAACCACGCTTCAAACTGCATGTTGGAGCTTTCAATGTTCGAACTTTGTGTCTTATGGGCTTCCTTAGCTGGGGCTGTAGAATCTCGTGCTATCGATGTATTTAGCGTCTTCAAAACGCAAATAGATGATTAAATTACGGTCCTTCATTTGATCTCGCACTTTCAATATGAAGAAACAAGATGATCCACCCTTAGCGCATCTGTAGTTCACACTGCCACTTTCCGTGACTGCGCTGGTGTATCAAAGGCAGAACTGATTCTGCTTGACTGGACTCAAATAGGAAGTTGATTGTGCAGTGTCCAACAAAATGAAGCAGCAATAACTCGAAAAGATAGGAACACACGTTGTTGTCTCTGCAAACGTCCCCACTAGTTGCAACTTGGATAAAATTAAAAAAGAATTTTACAGAAAGATTTTCAACCCTTTTCAAAAAACCAAACACTCAGCAATAGTGGCGTGTGATTTTAGTGCTCCATTAGGTAGACTAAACCAAACCAAAAGACAATTAGACAGATCTTAAATTATCGCCGTACAGCGAATAGCCATCTATTGCAACTATGCTCAGGTACCCATCTATCTCTGATCAACAACAACTTTAAACATAAGGAGAGATATCTTCTGACGTGGAGAACTCCACCATCGACTCAACGGTGAACTCAAATAGACCACATTGCCACGAGCTATCATTAGAAGGCTCCATAGCGTACTATCATTCATTCTGAAATGCATGTTTTGATTCGGATCATGTTCTAGTTCAAACACGTATTTGTGTGCATCTTACTGAATGTAGAAAAGCCACATCAAGAAAACCTCTTATAGTCGAACTTAATGATGAGAAAGTTAGGAGAATTTTTCAGGAACAACTTAAGAAATAGCTAACCAACTTTGAAAATGACATTCACCCTAAGGTAACTTGGTATAATATCCGAGAAGCTGTGGAAACAACAGTGATATCTACTAGAGACTTGAACCAGAAGATTAGGAAAACTCAGTGTATTTAAATGATGTCTACATAACTTGTAGAAGCTCAGAAACTAATCCTGTCTGGTTCGGAAAACGATGGCTAGCAGAGGCAGCCTAAATGTAGGTTGATCAAAAGCCTACGTAATGATCGTGAGCAGTGGTGGGTAGCGATGGCAGAAGAGATAAAAAAAGACACCTGCGATAAGTAACGGTAGACATCTGTTCAGGATTATCAAGGAAACGGGTATTAAAAACATTGCTGTTAGTGAAACTATCTCGGAAAAAGTCGGGACTATTATTCAGTCCAAATCCAGGCGACTAAACCGATGGGCTTAACAGTTTAAGGAACAGTTCAATTGGCCTTCAGCTACCCACAATCTCCAAGCTGCTTGAATAGCAAACTGATTTCAATCCTACAACTCTTAGTGAGATTGAAAATTCTATAAGTGATTTAAAGCGAGGGAGAGCAACAGGGTTTGATGAACTAAGCGTTGAGAGTTTAAAGGATGGCGATGGTAGCTAGATTAATTGAAACCCTAGCTAAAATCTGGGAACTGAACGTTATCTCATCTGACTGGCCTCGAACACTTCGTTCAAGTGTGTAAAAAAAGATAGAGATCCTCTCATGATAATCATTTAAATATCAGTTTTACCAACATAGTGTCTGAAATGTTAGTCTAATAATTCGATGTCTAACTAGAGCTCGTTAAGATCAAACCCAAGGAAAACAGGCTTGTTTTAGACATGGATGTGGATGTATAGACCAAATATTCACCTTTTGGTAGGTTCTGGAACATAGAGATACTTTCCAACGTACGAACTATGATTGTATTCCTTGACTGTAAGACGTCGTTCGACTCCGTTGATTGTTAGGTTCTGTGGCAATGTACGTTGTTGTAAGGCGTACCAAATAAGTATATTAAACTTGCACAGGCTCTCTACTCAAACACTACTGGTCGAGTCAGAACTTATGACATATTGTCATCGGAGTTGGCTACTTCAAATGGCGTTCGTCAGGGTTATCCCCTTTCTCCATTTTTGTTAAAACTTTTCCTTGGTGAAACTCTTCTCGTTTGACTCTTCAGAATTTGATCTTCTACTATTAGATTCATTTGTTAATTTAAAATACCTAAATGATATAGTTCTGCTTGGTGAGGATGCTGACAAAATCCAGTCTTCTAACCACCTTGAGCAACAATTCAAGCATGCCTAAGATTTGGTTTCAGGATTGGGTTGGGTTAGCTCCTGAATTTGTAATAGACAGCGAAGTAATAGAGTTCATTGACCACTTCACTTATCTTGAGAGTCTCATCAGTCCTAGTAGATCTGGGTCTGACGAAATCTCGTCACCAGTTCAGAGAACCCGACTGGCGTTTTCCACTTGGTGTCACTTGTGACGTATATGAAATGTCCATCTGTCAAGAAAAGGGTTTGGATACTGTTTAACAATGCACTGTGTTCTACTTTGTGTGTGTGAAACACGGCCATCATAATAGAGAATATTCATTGGTCACTAGTATTCGACCATACATATTTTTTGAGAAGTTTCTTTGTGTGAGCTGAACGATTTGGTTGTGGAGACTTGACTGTTCTTCTGAATAACATCAACAACTCCACGACCAACCCATCCAGCTTAGGGGACGAAACAACCAAGATTATCCACTTGAGGAACAAACCTTCTCTACCATCTGGAAGACCATAGGTGTCTTTGATGCATTGCCCGTGTATTTTGGGACCAACGATGAGGAAGTGCGTGGGTTCGAAAAAGGAGACTGAGTAAAGATGGCAAACTGATTGATGATGTAGTCAATCTTCATCAACTTAGGTGTTTAGGACATGTGTTACATATGGCTAACTACCACCTACTCGTATAACGATGTTGTCTTGTGTAGGAGTAGGTTGGAATAAAGCTAAGAGTGGCCAAATCAAAACATGATACCAGTCCATGAAGTCATTGACAACTGGATTGAGCTATGTTAACAGGTTTAGACTACCTGGTTTGGGTCCGCGTAATAATCGCGATTAGTGATTAGAGACGTTGAATGAAATAATTCAAAATTGTTTTCAATGGCATATGTTCATCCATTCTTTGTCTTCTTTTAGAGCCTAAGCTTCTGAATTCTCCATAATTTCTTCACTCCACTAAATTGTACTTTCTTCGGTCATTAATCTTTCTGATTATCACTATTACTATACTGCTGCTACCTCCACTACTCTGGAATTCGCCCTTGAAATTTCTCTTTGTGTTGATGGGTTGTTGCAACTTGAACCGATGTACACATATGCTAGGTTCTACGTTGCGATTGATTGACTGAAGGAATAGACAGAAACTAATGACCACTCGTAGTTTTGTGTTTTTCACTTCTTATTAAACATTTTTTTTGCCTGATAATTCATATAGCCTTAGATGAATATTATGTGTATCAATGACAGTTTCGACTTTGCAATTATTTGGGCCTTTTGTGTAGGGGTTTGTATCATTGAAAACGTTTTCGTTTTGAATTATTTAACCGACAGGATGATTACAACCATGTGATCCTTTCTTAAAAACAGTCTAAGTATCTCAACATTACTGAAATTATTTTTTTAGAATTTTCATTACTAAGAAGTAATATTTTTCTAAAATTTTATGTTAAGGTTGTGAGACGATTTGTTGGTAATACTGGAGTAACAACACCGGATAGAACAGTTGTGCAACATTCTCCATCCTATCGATCACCGGAAGTCATGTCTGATTTAGAGGACAGTGGTTCAACTCCAATATGGTACGAAGTAAGTTTCGCATGAATACACATCCATTTGAATCGATGTTCTATTGTTTTATTGTCTTTTGGTTGGTCAATGCATCACTTAGTTCTAACTCAGTATGAAAAAGCAAGTTACTTAACCCAATCAGTTGGAAATTTATTATAAATTTTGTTGAAAATGTTTTCGTCCTCATACTTATTTACGCCCGTTACTCCCAATGGAGTATAGGACGCCGACCAGCATTCCCCAACCCACTATGTCCTGAGCCTTCCTTTCTAGTCCTATCCAATTTTTGTTCATTCTTCTCATGTCTGTCTCAATTCCTCGGCGTAATGTGTTCTTTGGTCCTCCTCTTCTCCTTTGACCCTGATGATTCCAATTGAGGGCTGGCCTTGTAACGCAGTTGGGTGCTTTTCTCAATGTGTGTACTATCCACTTCCAGCGCTTCTTCCTGATTTCTTCCTCTGATGGATGGAATCTGGTTTGTTCTCTCCCAAAGTAGAATTTTGCTGATAATGTCTGGCCAATGGATCCGAAGTATCTTGCGTAGACAACTGTTAATAAACACCTGTATCTTCTGGATGATGACTTTCGTAGTTCTCCAGGTTTCCGTTCCATACAGTAGAAACCTCATAAGTTGAACTCTAATAAACAGGAATTGAAGTTAGTGAGTTATGAAAAGTTGGTTGTGTGTAAAATTATTATCGGTTAACAAGACAGTTTACACACTTGTTATAGTGAACTCATACAACACAGCTGAGCTGTGATGTGACAATTCTTGAGGAATTACAGTGATCTTTATTTGTATAATCGCTGTAACTCAGCTTCTCAGTGTTTGAAGGAATATTTTGATGAATAGGTAATCTGAAAAACAACATACTTCCTAAACTAACTCAACAGTTTTATTTAGCAAAAAAACTCATTAAAATAGTCATATTATTACATAATGAAATTAAGAATATATAAAGCCGAAAGATATTCCAACAAACTTCTGAAATTAGAGAAACACAGTTATGTATGAAATACGAAAGACTTTCGCATTAGTAGAAAATTTCATTTACCATAGTGTAAAAAGTGACAATTATATTACAATACAAATGAACCTAAATAATCGCAACATTCATCTTATAATAGGTTTTAAGACATTAGCTAGATATTTTCACTAAATGAATGCTCACGAATTGTATGATCAGCTATCTGACTCAAGCCATTGTGGATTCTGTTGAAACTTCCCCTATCCAACAAGACAGAGGAAGACAAGAAACAACATGGGAAAGCATACATGTAGAACAGCATCCAAGCTTCTTTGTATTTGCAAAGAATCAGAATGACCTAAACTGTGAAGATATAGGAGATTATCTTAGTTGAATGAATAGTTCGGGTACTCATTATATCTTGTCTAAGCTTCCATCTTACTTATCATCCAACTTTGATACAACATGTGAATTGACCAGTCCTGTCTGATTCACTCATCGTATTTGATATCCATCAAAAAGTTCAAGAATCACTACTAAATACTTAGTAACTTTGGCTTAAACAGATTTGTGGTGACAAAACTAGAATCGAAATTCGTAAAATTGTCAGGTAATTGAATGGAAAACATTATTCAGGAATGTTAATCCATTTTATTTTGGCGTTTTTCTGTGATACTGATCAAAAATTAGTTATCTGTATGGGGATTTGTGGATATTGCAATATTTCCACAGATGAATATACCAGTCGATCTAAGCTAGACCACCGTTGAAAACCTGGAAACACTGGACGACCGTTTCGTCCCAGTATGAGATTCTTCGGCAGTAATTATCTGTCTTCGATTTAGTAGCCTATTATCTTAAAATCTTTCAGTTTAGACAACAATTTAACTTCCACGTTGCCATCTACAGCTATTTACAGGAAAATAAATTAATGAATTTGTTTTATAAACCGGAAAACCTTTATTGCTTTTTTAAGATACTTCTGATAAAAGACTCACTTTGTCTATTGTGACTGTATTATTTTTATGGTAGTTTATCAACGTTGTCCCTCAGAAAACTCTGTTTTTAGAAGTACTTCATTTTTAACATGAGTAAACAGTCAATAACTGATATGCTTGATCTAAATCGATTTCCACGGTAACGAACGAAAGCCAATGACACAATGACGCGATAATCTATTCTAATCTGTTGTCCCAGGCCCCGCTAACTAGATGAAGAAGTCCAAGGCAAGTAGGGGAATATATATATTCCATAAGCAGCCGAGTACAACCAATCAAATAAGGGAAAAAGTCAAGCGTATATATACAGCAACAAATTGTCCTTGGGCATCATTAATAAATAGCACACACAAAGAAACAATGGACCAATAGCGTTTAAGATAGTTTACGGGTGGGAAATATGACGTGAAGGTAAAACGAGCGCGTTTGGCGCGAAAACAGCTAAATTCAAATTTCCAAAACAAAATTACAAAACTAAGCCGTTTACCAAGTAAGTTCTGGGGATGTGACATCCCCAACACCTCCCCTTCTTAGTAACAGACATTCTTGGGGTCCACCTGCATTCTGACTGTCTGTCGCCGTTGGCGCAGTGACCACCTTCGGGACCGTAGATCGACCTTTTGTGTTTCTTCTTGTGTAGGGGCGACCGGCAGATTGAACGTATTCAACAATATGTCCAGCGGGATCTTCCCTTCGGTCGTTGGGCGCGCCAGCGCTGAACGCTTGCGTAGTTGGTTTCGATGCCTCGTCCACCTATCTGCTCCTACCTCGACCTTGTACATGACTATGCCTACCCTTCTAACAACACGTGCTTCGATCCAAGGATCACGATTTGTTCTGTAGTCTCGATCGAATACTGGGCATCCAACGTTGTACGTGGGTAGCTTCCGGGACGTGGTTTGTGCTAGTGGTGGTGTGGTTTTCGGTAGCATCAAGTTGTGGATAGTCCTCAACCTTCTCCCCATGAGGATCTCTGCGGGGGACTTCTGCTCCGGCAGCGTGTCGTTAGGGGTCGTTCTGTAGGCGAATAAAATATTCTGCAGTGTTTCCACTGGCGTCCCCTCCCCTTTTGACTTAATCAGAGCCCTCTTGAACGTATCCACGAACCTTTCCGCTTGCCCATTCGATTGTGGGTGATATGGTGACGCACGAAGATGCCTGATGGATAGGCGTTTGCAGAACTCTTGAAACTGTGTCGAGATGAACTGCGAACCATTGTCGGATACAATCACTTCCGGTAATCCGTTCCGTGCGAACAACTCAGTCAAATGTTTCAGCGTCTGGGTGGTCGTTGGTGGCGTGACGGGTACAATCTCCGGCCATTTTGAGAAGGCGTCGACCACGACAAGATAAGTGGTTCCGTTGACTGGACCGGCAAAGTCGACATGTATCCTAGACCAGTGATGCTCAGGCTGTGGCCATGGAACCGGCGGCACCTTCGCATTGCACTTCGCTGCTTGCTGACACTGAACGCATTTGTTTACTAGATCCGTGATGTGCTGGTCCATGAGGGGCCAGTAAGCATAGCGTCTGGCGATAAATATCATACGCTTTATCCTGGGATGACCAATGTGAAATTGTTTCACCACTTTTGCGCGAAGAGACTCTGGTACAACCACTCTTTCACCAAACATCACGCAGTCGTTTACAATGCATAGTTAATCTCGCCGCCGATACAGCTGTTTCATGTCTCCATCGAACTTAACAGACGGCCACCCATTGGTGATATAGCTCATAGCTCTCTTGATGACGGGGTCATTCCTTGAAGCGTTTTGTATATCTGACGCGGACACCGGTAATGCCCGTATAGCAGTTGTCAGATAACATTCTGCGTGATCTTCCACTGACAGAGATGCGATTACCATATTTTCCTCAGTCGCCGAATGATCATTAATGAGACGTGATAGATCATCTGCTTGCCCAAATTGCTGGGTGCGTCGGTATTGGATTTCGAAATCGTAACCCAAGAGTACCAAGGCCCATCTCTGAAGACTATTTGCCGAGTGGGCTGGTATGCCAGACTTCGACCCGAAATTGCGAGAAGGGGCTTGTGATCCGTAAGGAGTGTGAACCTCCGACCGTACAAATATTTGTGGAACCGCCGCACAGCAAACACCAGGGCGAGAGTCTCCTCCTCTATCTGACTATACTTTTTTTCTGCCGGTATCAGCGTGCGGGATGCGCGCATGATAGCGTTCTCTGATGCGTCTGGAAACTGATGAGAAATGACGGCTCCTAAACCATACGCTGAGACATCTGCAGCTACAATGATCGGCATGCATGGATCGTAGTGCGTTAATAACAATTTCGAGCTGATGATGGACTTCAGTTTACAAAATGCTGTATCACACTCTTTAGTCCAGTTCCACGTACTGTTCTTTCTCAGTAGACCATTCAGTGGGGCACGAATATCATGCATTGAAGGGACAAACGCGGTATAGTAAGAGACCAGTCCCATGAAGGAACGTAGTGTAGAGATATTCGTGGGCGTGGGCATCTGTCTTATCGCTCGGACGTTTTCAGGATCAGGTCTGCTGTCGTCAGCATCAAAAGTAAACCCCAAATGCTTTACGGATCGTAATAAAAATTGACATTTCTCAGGTTGTAACCGGAACCCGTTTTTACTGATGCGTTTCAGTACCAATATCGTTCGTTCCTGCATCTGTTCTAACGTTGTCGCAACAATTAGAATGTCGTCAAGATAAGCCGCGACTCCCGGGATGCCAGATAAGATAGTATCCATTAATTGTTGGAAAATGAATGGTGCAGTCTTGACACCGAATGGTAAACGGTTATACTGAAATAACCCACGGTGATTGTTAATAGTAAGTAGCTCCCTCGATGCTTCGTCTACTTCAACTTGCAAATAATCATCAGCAAGATCCAGTTTTGCGAAGAATTTTTCCCCATTCAGCATCGTAAAAAAATCTGCAGGAACTGGTAAGGGATAGTGATGTTGTTCAAGGGCTGCATTTAGGCCTGTAGAAAAATCAGCACATATTCGTATGGTGCCGTTTGCCTTCTTGATGACCACTATCGGTGCTGCCCAGGCGGAGTAAGAAACGGGAGTAATTACGCCTTGTTGTTGGAGGCGGTTTAATTCTTCATCTACTGTTGGTAACGTCGCATAAGGCACAGACCTTTTGGGACGAAAGACAGGCTTAGCTTCAGGTTTCAAACGAAGCGTTGCTTTTATGGCAGAACACTGTCCCGAACCAGGTTGGAAAATCGATGAAAACTGCGCCATTAGCTTCCTGGTATACGATTCAGTGTCATGAGGTTGTGATACCATGTAGCATATGGTATTTAGTGGGACATCAGCCAATTTCAGTTGATCGAACCAGTCTAAACCAAGTAAATTTTGATCAGATGGAGTTATATGACATACCCCGGTAAACGACGAATCCCGGAAGGTTACTCTACATTCCAATTGTCCTGACAAGTTCAGGAAATTACCACATGCGGTACGAGGCTTTTGAGTTGATCGCTGCAGGCTTGGGCTACCCATTTTGGTCCAATTTTTGTGTGAGATGAAGGTGACGTCTGATGCTTTATCTGTTTGCAATCGAAAAAAAGTCCATTAATATTAATGTTAATGAATTTTCTCTCACCTGGTGATGAGCTCTGACAAAAAGATACTAAGCTGAAAGAAGAGGTACAGGGCTTCGGAACAGTCTTTTTGGCACTACTGGATAGATTTGGAGTGCTCTTAATTCAAAACCCGTCCTTGTGACCAACGACCTTGCACTTCCTGCATCGATGTTGCCTAAATGGGCAATTTCGTACGCAGTGCCAGCAAGGAGTGAAGGGATTTGTTCTGGTCTGTCGAATTGGGCTGAAATGAGTTGGACTGAATGTAGCGGGAGCGCACTTATTCTGGTTAGTTGTCTTTTGGACTACTCGTACTTCCGATCGACTAGACCCACCACTCTCAACCATCGTCGTGTCTCGTTTCAGATTTACTAGGCGTTGATATTCATTAGCCATGTCATTAAGTGTGAGTTTTGGATCTTGATCCAATCGACATAGTAGTCGCGTTCTTATGTCACTGAACTTCTGGGACTGGAAGCTGCAAATGAGGATGAGGGCTTTGAAGTGGTCTTCAGATAAAGGCTTCAACCGGAACCGTTCGCATTCACGGTTAACGATGCCCACATGCGTAAGAAAGTCATCGTCTTCGTTCATAACTAGCTCCAAACATCGATAACGGGCGTTAAACAATGATGAATTGTCCCCAAAATGGTGGCTTAGTGTCTGGACTGTGTCTGCGAAAGAGCGATCACGTGGATTCAAAGGCAGGATCAAGTTGCAGTACCTGTTCAGCTCACTTGCACCCAACTTTCGAAGTAGCAGTCGCACCTTCCAAGTATCATCTTGATTAGCAAAATCAAATTTAAATAGGTCTTCATAACGCCGGAACCACATGTCAAAAGTAACGTTGGCATCAGGATCATGATGAAACTCAGCAATGCTATTTGCGATGCCGTCTACTGATGGTGCTGTGGTTGCATTAGATGTGCTAGGCTGTGTGGGGGGCGAAACTTTCATATCTGTCAGCATTTGTATGAGTTTCAGCTGCTGTTCAAGTAAGGATTCGAGTTTAGAAGGATCCATGTTTCTGGGGATTTGACATCCCCAACAATAACCATAACCCAACTATATATTACTCAATTATAGGTTCAACTTCGTAAACCACGTTCAAATTATGGCCTTGGTTTCAGTATTGCTGGTGGTCAAGATGTTGAGAATGAAAACTTTCCTTCAACTGGAATATTTATTACACGTATCAGTCCAGGTGGGTTAGCTGATTTAGATGGTCGTATCATGCCTGGTGATCAGTTAATGCAAGTAAGTCTATACTATGGTTTTCTTTTCGCTTTGTTTTTTTTAAAATAGTTTCAATTTAGATTGCTACAGAATTTAAACGTAATAGCAGAAAATATAAATTATACCACTAGACGAGTATATCATCTCTGAGTGTAGACAAGACTGTATATGTTCCATTTAATTTAAGCAGAATAAAAAAAAACTTCTCTAAAATTCATCTTCACTTATTTAAGCTACTATCTTATTGCGTTACAATTTAGTCCAGCTTACAATACATTTGAATTTATAAGTTATACTTATCAGTTTTCATGCTATCAACTTTAATATAACATTTGAACGGAAATTCCTAGCTTACTTATTTACTTACGCCTGTTACCCCTCACGGAGGAGCATAGGCCGCTCACCAGCATTCTCCATCCAACTCTGTCCTGGGCATTCTTCCCAGTTACCATTCATCCTTTTCATATCTGCTTCTATTTCCCGGCGTAATTGGTTCTTTGGCCTTCCTCTTCTCCGCTTCCCTTCCGTGTGACAAGTTAGGGATTGAGTCGTGATGCACATTGGTGATTTCCTTAATGTATGTCTGATCCACTTCCAACGTCTTTTCCTAATTTCCTCTTCAGCTGGGACCTGCTGATTTGTCCTCTCCCATAAAATGCTGTTGCTGATAGTATCCAGCTAGTGAATATTGAGTATTTTACGTAGATAACTGTTTATAAATACTTGTACATTCTTGACGATGGATCTAGTAGTTCTCCACGTTTCAGCTCCGTACAGTAGAACTGACTGTCTTTACGTTCGTATTGAGGATTCTCACTATGAAGTTAGTTGACAGTTGTTTTTATTTCCTTATGTTCTTCAATTGTAAGATTCCTAGCTACCTATGATCAAGTGAAAAAAAGAAAAATTATACATTTACATTCTGACAGTAGTACTTTGTATTGATTAATCTGTTAAAAATGGCTTAATTTGACTATCACGATTTTTGCCATAACCAATATTTTCACATGTTAGATATTCTGTTCAGTGAATAATCTACATTCATTCTTATTTCCCCCTTCAAACGTTTTAATTGTATAGGTGAATGAAATTGACCTAAGTCATGCTACTCATGAAGAAGCTGTTCAAATACTTCGTAATGCAGGTGATATTGTAAATTTAGTGTTAACACGTCAACAAGTAGAGAGTTTTGATGAACCTGGTTCGTTAGAGCATTCAACAAATGCTGAATCAACACGTAAATATCAAATAAGCAGTAATAGAAAACTTTCGTAACAAATGCTAAATCAACGCATACATATCTTATTTCTTAAAGAATTTGTTCCACTATCATTTCATTCTGTATCAATAAAAACTGTTTGTAAATAATTACGTACATGTATATCAAACTTTTTATATCCCTTTTTTATAGTAGAGTACTGCTTTTCCAAGTAAAATAAATGAAAATCTTTTAGACTATACAAGATTATTTTCACCTGGGATAGATGTTCTTATTCGTGTATCATCGAAGTTGACTAATTTGTGGGAACTCCATTTTTATGGTGTTCACTTTCCTTTTGGTGGTTTCATGATACAGTTGTTCACTGAATAATAAGTGTTATATATCAGGAAGCTTATGCAGGGTTTTAAATAGTAAAGAGATAAAGTGTGTGACAGCATCACTTAATTATATGCGTCCTAAAGTCTGATACAGCATTCACCGACTTATAATTATTACGACAGGTTTGGATTATTTAATCATTGATATTGTTTACTGAATTTTTGATTATTCTTGATTAGCATGTGTTAGTTCTGAGCAAATCACCTTGATATAGCCACTTTTCTTAGTTTTTATGAGAGAAATCGATTTTGACTAGCAGCGGAATCCAGTACGCGCGTTTCCTCTTAATTGCGACTCGTCAGCTGGATATTCAAGCATCCTCGTTAATGTTCACTCCGGAACTCGAACCCGGCACTTAGCTTCAAACGCCGAATGTGTAGTCCACTGATCTATTTATCCCATTTACTTGTTAGTATCAGTCAGAGCTACTAGGAGAAATAGCATACACGAAACTTGGGTTCAAATTTTTCTTAATACATATCTTGAACAACTAACTTTACAACTAAATTGTAACATTTCATGTTGTTTAGCTGAATGATTACATTCCGTCTCTTAATCGATAGATTTCGACCTTAATTTTGGCTTTTAGAACGGCAATAATGTAGCTCATTGAACAGGTATAGATTCATGTACCTAACAATGAGTCAATCAACTCGCTTATCTTTTCGGTGTACTAGGCGCACCTTATCCATTGTGATATGTTGTTAGCCAGTCTATTAGAACAAATTCTAGCGTCATATTTCTACTACTCATTTTATTTTTTACAGAGTAATGCATTCAAGCATTTCAGCTTAGTTTTATGTGAATTAAATCCATAATCTGCATCAAGAAATAAATCAAATATTTCAATTTATTTTTTTAAGGCTGTATAATTATATTTATGCAAAATGCAATATATGATGAACAAGTTTAACATATTGACATTCGTATAAACATTATATGAAACATTTGGGGTCCACTTCATATCATTTAATGAAACAGCTTAGTCAATGATTTAAAACAATTTCAAATGTAACGAGAAAACGGAGTTGATTTTCCAGATCAACTTCCAAATTGTAATTTAGTTACAAACAATTTAAGCACTCTACAGATTATATTTTTTTAAGGTCTTTGTAATCAAACATATAACTGTAATCACTAATCGATTGGTGTTAGATCACCACTGAAAACTTAGAAGCACTGGATGATCATATTTATTTATTTAAACACATAAATATTGGTACAAGGAAGCACCAGATACATATGCGCCTCGAAAATCTCATTCGATTTGTGTGAGGGCTGTGATACTGCCCAGACTGAAGCAGATGGTTTCCTTAGGAGGCCACACCCGGAGCCTTTGACCTGAATGTCTGATCCACAAGGCAGTGGAGCATCGTGAGGAGAAGCAGTCCATGGTAGCCGGTGATCAACAGTTGATTCGTACGCCATTTGTTCCCTCAGGATACTGGAGCCCATGTGCACCACTGGTTTGGAATCAGGGTTTTCCAACTCCCCTAGGTGAACTTTCCATGTCCACCAACCCGGTTAAAGCGCCGGACATTCGCTTTTCATCCTATCAATTTAGTAAACAACGGTAATGTCACGAGAAGGCAGTGAGTAGGACTTCCCTGGCAGAAGCTATATATTCGCTGGCTATGTGGTCATATGGGACTCCTCATTAGTATGCACCCTATACTAGGACGATACGGCCGTCCAGTGCTTCCAGGTTTTCACTGGTGGTCTAACATCAGTCGATTCATGATTCCAATCATAAAAACTTAACAATCCCCACAACCTATATTGATATAACTGAAACCATCAGAAATAATCCTTCCTTTTTTACTTGTATATCACGAAGATAATTGCATGAATTCGGTTTGACTTCATCGAGACTCAGGTATTCAAATACTATTGTGTTTTTGATATGGTATAATTTACCCTCTAGTTCTTCAGATCAGTCTTCAAATAAGATCTGAAATATTCTTTGTATGCTCAGATGTTCTGTGCTACTGTTTCCGAAATAGTGTGCAGGATAATTTTAAAGAATAAGACCAATGTATAGGAGCTATATCACTTAAGAAAACAAATAAGGGAATTACTTTGAATGATATTAGGATCATATTTTGCCTTTGTTAAGTCTACCAAAACGTCTGACAACATAACTGAGTTACGCGTAAAATCGAGGTTCAAAAAAGATCTATCTTCCTAACGATTCTTTCGTAATTAATATATATTGGTTACGAAACTCAACGCCTGGGGTGTTCGCGGATATTAACACATTTCTATATCTGGAAAGAATAAGGCTTCCTCTGGTTTTAACATAAAAATAAATACAATATGCTGTGCCGTAAATGATAGCCTATAACTATGTTTGGAGTCAATGATAACTCGGTTATCCAAATAGGGGCACACAAATATGGAATCTGTTGCGCCTGAACAACGATTTATGGGTTGCGTAATCACGCTAATAAATACAGCAAACCTTAGTAGTTTATGTGAATACTAGAAAGAAACGCCCGTCCACTGCTTTCAAGTTTTCAATGGTGGTCTAATATTGATCGATTCATGATCTCAATCAAGATTGGCGTCCGTTACATCATGCCTTCTGAAATGCTTGAAATGAAACTGATCACTGAATATTAACAAGTAGTATAAATTAATATACATAAACTGAGTGTGAAGGTTAGAGACAAGACAGAAAACAAACGAACTTAACAGCTTGTTATACTTACTTACGCCTGTTACCCCTCGTCGAGGACCATAGGCCGCTCACCAGCATTCTCCATCCAACTCTGTCCTGACCCTTCCTTTCCAGTTACTATTCAGCCTTTTCATATCGGCTTCTATTTCCCGGCGTAGTGTGTTCTTTGGCCTTCCTCTTTTCCGCTTCCCTTTCGGATTCCAAGTTAGGGATTGAGTCGTGATGCACATTGGTGATTTCCTTAATGTATGTCCGATCCACTTCCAACGTCTTTTCCTAATTTCCTCTTCAGCTGGAACCTGCTGATTTGTCCTCTCCCATAAAACGCTGTTGCTGATAGTATCCTACCAGTGAATTTTGAGTATTTTGCGTAGACAACTGTTTATAAATACTTGTACCTTCATGATGATGGTCGTAGTAGTTCTCCAAGTTTCAGCTCCATACAGTAGGACTGCCTTGACGTTCGTATTAAAGATTCTGACCTTGAAATTGGTTGAGAGTTGTTTTGAGTTCCATATGTTCTTCAATTGTAGAAATGCTGCCCTTGCTTTGCCAATCCTCGCCTTTACATCTGCATCCGATCCTCCTTGTTTATCAACGATGCTCCCCAGGTACTTGAATGCTTCCACCTCTTCCAGAGTGTCGCCATCAAGTGTGATTGGATTGGTGTTCTCCGTGTTGCATTTGAGAATCTTGCTTTTTCCTTTGTGAATGTGGAGACCTATCGATGCAGAGGCTGCTGCTACATTTGCTGTCTTCATCTGCATTTGGTCGTGTGTATGAGAGAGGAGGGCTAGGTCATCTGGGAAGTCCAAATCATCTAATTGATTCTGAGCTGTCCATTGTATTCCGTATTTCCCTTCAGATGTCGAATTCTTCATAATCCAGTCAATCACTAGAAGGAAGAGAAATGGGGAGAGTAGACAGCCTTGTCTGACTCCGGTCCTTACTGGAAATGCATCTGTCAGCTGTCCTCCATGCACCACTTTGCACTGTAATCCATCGTATGAGTTTTGGATGATGTTGACAATCTTTTCAGGAACTCCATAGTGTCGAAGAAGTTTCCATAATGTTCTCCTGTCCACGCTGTCAAATGCCTTCTCATAGTCAATAAATTTGACGTATAGTGATGAGTTCCACTCAACTGATCCGTAGTGTCGCAATCTGGTCTGTGCACGACTTATCCTTACGGAATCCAGCCTGATGATCCCTTAGTTCGGCGTCTACTGCGTCTTTCATCCAATTCAGCAGCACTCTGTTGAAAACTTTTCCTGGTACTGATAACAAACTGATACCTCTGTAGTTCTCACATAGGCTCAGATCTCCTTTCTTTGGTATCTTGATGAGATATCCTTCTTTCCAGTCCGTTGGCACTTGTTCCTCTTCCGAAATCTTTTTGAATAGTAGGTGAAGCATGTTTGCAGTTATTTCAATGTCTGACTTCAGTGCTTCTGCTGGTATATTGTCAGGTCCTGCCGCCTTCCCACTTTTGATTTGTCTGATGGCCATCTTGACTTCTTCGATCGTTGGTGGAGTGACATCTATTGGAAGGTCAGTGTGTGCTGCTTCGATGTTCGGTGGATTCAATGGGGCTGGTCTATTCAGCAGTTCCTCGAAGTATTCTGCCCATCTTTTCCTCTGTTCTTGAATCTCAGTGATTGTCTATCCTTCTTTGTCCTTGACTGGTCTCTCTGGTTTGTTATATCTCCCTGCCAATTTCTTCGTTGTATCATATAGTTGTTTCATATTCCCTTCTCTTGCAGCTTTTTCCACCGTCGTTGCTAGTTCTCCCATGTATTTTTGCTTGTCGGCTTTAATGCTTTTCTTCACTTCCCTGTTTGCTTCTGCGTAGTCTGCTTGTGCTTTGACTTTCTGTGCTCGTGTTCGGCTGTTGTTAATTGCTAGTTTCTTATTCTTCTTTTCTTGAATTTTGTCCAGGGTTCCCATAGAGATCCATTCCTTGTGATGATGCTTCTTAGGACCAAGAACCTCCTGACACGTTGAAGTTAGTGCTTCTTTTATCCCTTTCCAGTTGTCCTCCAAAGTAGTTTCTTGTTCTTTCAGTAGATCCTGTAGAGCTTGGAACCTGTTGTTGAGAGTTATCTTGAATTCATGGAGCTTGTCAGTATCTCGAAGGAAGGCTGTATTGAACCTTTGTAGTGCTGTTTGTCCAGTTGTCCAGTCTTTCTTTAGTTTCAGTCTCATCTTGGCCACAACCAGGTGGTGATCTGAAGCTATGTCAGCTCCTCTCCGGGTCCTCACATCTTCCATTGATCTTCGGAATTTTTTGTTGATACAGATGTGATCTATCTGGTTCTCTGTGGTGTGGTCCGGTGAGATCCATGTAGCTTTGTGTATGCGTTTGTGTGGGAATATTGTGCCGCCTATAACCAATTTGTTGAAAGCACATAGGTTTGCAAGCCTCTCCCCATTTTCATTTCTCTCTCCTAATCCATGTCGTCCAATTACATCTTCATATCCTATGTTGTCCACTCCAACTTTAGCATTTAGATCTCCCATCAGGATGATGAGGTCCTTTCGTGAGCACTTTGCTACAATTTATTGCAGCCTTTCATAGAACTGATCTTTATCATCGTCGTTGCTATCATTGGTGGGTGCATAACACTGGATAACGTTCATTGTGATCCCTTGCTTCTCTGTTCTGAATGATGCTTTGATTATCCTGGGTCCATGAGATTCCCATCCCACAAGTGCATTTCGTGCTTCTCTGGACAGCATTAGAGCAACTCCCTGAGTGTGTGGCGCATTTTCCCTTTCGTGACCGGAGTACAGCAGCATCTCTCCTGTACCTAGCCTTTGTTGTCCAGTTTGTGTCCAATGGGTTTCGCTGATTCCGAGTACTGCCAAGTTGTATCTCCTCATTTCCATTGCTATTTGGCTGGTCTTTCCTGTCTCCCACATTGTCCGGACGTTCCATGTACCTATAAAGAGTGTTGCTCTGGTTGTTAGAAGGTGCATCGGTCTCGTGACTTCCGAAGAATTTCGGCTTTCATCATGAGACGTCATAATTATTCGTTCAACTCCCAGGGCAGAGTTTAAATGGCTTGAATTATTTTTTCTGGTT